CGAACCACGCGACTACTCTATTTCCTTACTAATAACACACACACATATATATATATATACATACTACGTACATATATACACTAACAACATTACTAAGAAGATATATATATATATATATATATACTAATTACAAGGAACAGTATTAAATATGTATATATTTATTACATGCATACATTTATACATACAATACCAAAGAATATATATATATATATATATATATATAACATCTCTACTCATATATGGCTAATTACATTACGTGCCAACTCCATTAAAGTGCTGTGTACTTCAATTTCATTTGCGTAACAGCTTAATTCGTCCACTTAGTAGCCGGTACAAAATACCCGTAGAGACTCTTCAGTGTATTTTTATATATATATAATTTCAGTTAAGCTACTGAATACCTTTTTTTTTCTTTCCAGTGTATTGTTATTTTTCTTATATAAAATACTGTAAACGACAACTACTGTTTGAATAACTAAAAGACAAAATTAAATATGAAGCCAAATGTACCATTCGATTCGCCACATATCATTGAGGGAAACCTGTTTCGGGGACCAACTTTAAACATCCCATTCTTAAATGACCTAAAACGGCTTATTGTATTTGAAACATAATAGTAAAGCAAAGTCAGAATTACTATAGAAACGCTCGATTTTTCTCAGCAAAAATACGGCAGTAAAGGAAGATTATAGTTATAGACTAAGAACAGTTACTATCTTCGAAATTGAAGAGCATTTTTAAAGAAACTTGTTTGGTTTATGTTTATTATTGCAGGATTGATGGACTACCTCGTGAGTAACACACCAATAGCTCGCTGTCTCAGGCGAAATCTTGTTTTTAAATTTATTCCAATGCTGAACCCAGATGGCGTTTTTGTCGGTAATTACAGGTAAATAATATTTGATTTTATCAATATTTATTTTAAATATCCACCTATTTTACAGCTCCTAATTTTACCTAATAATTTGATAATGAATTTATTTCTAACGCTTCTATCGCAATTTCGTGTTTTCATTGCATTACTAAGAAGGAATATATTAACCCTAAAGAAATGTACTCATATAAATATTATCTACTTTAAAACCAACTTAAAAACTGTGTTTACCTAATTATGGCAAAAATCAAATAGCTTTAGTACCAAATGGCATAAGTATTTACGATTTTCCTGTATTGTAGAATACATATTTAGAAACGTAATTGCGTGTATAAGATTTGCGATGAACAGTTGGTTTTGATACTGTATATTAGCTCAAAGATATTTTAAATTTGGTTTTTCAATCTAAGCAGAGCATTAGGCGATGCTCTAAACGACAAGGTCAAATAAAAGTGCGAAACGTACTCAATGGCATATCACAGCCCAAACTTTGGACCTTTCGATCCGAAGGCATATACTCTAACGATTAGGCCAAGAGCAGTCCATTTGTTTTTAAAGAAAAATATGAAATGAGGTGAATTACGGCTTTCGTAGGCAGTTCAAATAAACTTCATTAATTGCCGTTGTTCATTAAAATTAACTTTCTGTTGGCATTATTGCAATACTGTTTACATATTCTTTCAATACACGATACAGTTCTCTTTGTGGTGTTTGTAGATAGATAAATTGGGATGTGATACGTTGCTAATTAATTTAACTTATTGCTATTAATTATAGCGTTTCTCAATAAATTATCTCCACATAGCTATCCATTAAATTACAAATGTCATTCAATCCGGAAGTGGAATCACAATAGGGAGGCGTGTGTTACGTCACATATATAGAGCTAGACAACAGCTAAATATAGATGTCTAAATAGATATTTGCAAATACTAGATGTAGATTTAATTAAAATCAGCCATAATGCCGTACTTGCTCAAAATGCCCTGTATAAATTTGGGCGAAATGTTTTCCACTGGATATCTAACGATATTTTATCATCATGAATGTAATTAACAGTAATTGAGGTCATACTTCAGTAATTACAATTTTCGTTTCATCATACTAATAGTACGAGGTTTGAACTTACTCCCTGAACTGTCCAAGTGAGAATCATATCGTTTAAAAATGTTGCAGTGCAGAAGACTGTGATCTTTCGAAAGACCAAAGTTTCACACTATAGTATGCTGGCATATAAGACAACCAGTCTTCTCCTATACTTCTGCATTGTTATTATATACATGTTGTTTATAATATAAATTTTCACACGATCAGTATTCGAACTACAAGTGAATATTTACCAAATAAGCCAGAGGATTAACTTACTGGTATTTCCTTGTAAGATACTTATTAACAACTCAAACTACTACTGCGTATATAACACTTTTATATCTGTGATATATGTGTGTGATACAACACACTGCAAATCTACATATCTTCTTTGCAATTTTTACCTAGTGTTTGCGTAGGCTACACATGCAGTCACATTTTATACCTCAAACGCCCATAAGTATCGAAAAGGTGAAAACATTGTTGTAAACATAATTAGCTCCTACCCTCAGTATAAAATAAATGAACCACTGAAACCACATTGTTCAAAATTGTATTTATTTGAGAACATTGTTGTGTTGTGAAGTCACATGTTTGTGACGAGTTCCGATTCGAACCGTTCAGGAATAACACATAGTGGAATTAAGTCGCCCTTCGTCAGATTTTTTTAATATTGTTTTTATGCTGTGTTTAACCCTTCATTTGTGTCATGAAAAGCATTAATTTACTAACATCACTACGTGTATGTAGACTGTATAAAATTCATCACAAAGATTGTGCACCAGTCAACACATTTACTTTGCTGTTTTTTTATTCCTCTAATGATTGTGTTGCTTTAATGAAAGTTCTCTCATAGTGCATTACTCCATTCCATGAATAAGCAAGTTCTTTCATTTGTTTGTTGTTAAACATAAAGCTATATAATGGACTATAAGTGCTGTGCCCACCACAGGTATCGAAACCTGATGTTTAGAGTCAGAAGTCGAAATACTTTCTCTGAGCCACCAGTAGGCAGTTCTTTCTTCGTCATAACAATTTATTTTATCTGTATGTAGAGAAGATAATTAAGCACGAGAGTGTTTGGTTCTTCTTATCTAACATTATGTTCTCATATTACATATTAATGTTAAATTTATATCACTTTGGCAAAAGTACACAAATGTAACCGCTATTCTTATTTCATTAAGTGTTTTACTGTAGAATAGCTTATAAACTGTGATAATAGATTGTTTTTTTTCTAAACACAAAACTACGTTGTGTCCACTGCGATAAATCGATTCCAGATTTTAACGTTATATCCCCTTACGCTTCCCGCTGAGATACTGAAAGATATAACAAGTGACCTACAGATGTTTTTAAATATAACATCTTTATTAAGGACAATATTAAATCGTAAAAAAAAGTACTCCGGCAGCTCAGCGATACATTTGAGAGCTTATAACGTTAAAATTCAAGGCTCGAACCCCGCATAGCTTACAGCGCAAATAGCCCATTAGGTAGCCTTGCGTTACAACAAACAACTAGTCAAACTCAAATAAATTCACGTGGAGTAACTCTGAAACCTTATAGAGCAGTTTGCAAACGTACTTTACCCTTACATTAAAACAGATGACTACTCTGAATATAATAACTATTGTTTCAATCTCTCTATCTGTTACTTAAGTTTACACAGAATTAAACTAACTCCCTATAATCAAAATCATTAACTCTTCGGACCGAATGTGGCTTAGTGGATAGAGTGCCGGGCTACGATACTGCAGGTCCAAAACTTGATCTCGCAATAAGCCACTCAACACTCTCCGCACTTTCAGCCCTACATGCGTTATAACCTTAACAATCAATCTCGTTATTTCGTTAAGGAGGCTGTTTAGGTGGCGGGTGTCGCTGACTGCTTCCCTTCCTCGTAGTCAACAGTTCTGAATTAAGGTTGGATATACCTGAATCTTGGGGTCTCTGACCTGGCCGTTTAGCCGATGTGTCGCACAAGGTGCCTATTTCGGCCATGAACTACTTTTGTTCGAGCCCGGCTCTATTTAGACTCATTAAGGTTCCATGTGACTCACTTAGAACCTTTCTTACTTAGTAAAAATTATCAAGATTCATTCAATTCCCCCAGACTGTATATAGCAGTGAAAAGTTATATTTTGTAAACAATCACATACTTTTCGCTAATAATCTAATTAAGTAAACACTTTTGGTTGAGCCTATAGCCAAGCTAAAAGAATCTATTAAACACTTCATCACAACTTCAAACAATTAGTAGGTAGAGCTTCAGTTTCATTATAACTTTCTTCAGCGGTGTGATTTTTGTTTCTCGGCTATGATATACTTTATTAATTGTATCTCTCCTGATATTGTCTTTTGATCAATATATAAATAAGAGCTAAACAAACATTTTCTTTTTTATTTTACGTTTTATAAGCTCTAACATAATTATAGTTATTCTCGTAATTTCTTTGCGGCTGAAGTTGTGCCATGAGTTGCAGGAAACAAATATGTTGAGAAAGAAGTAAGGTCTTCATTACTGCTGTAATCCTTGTGCAGCGGCACGCTCTTCTGTAGGCTTAGAAGTGGTTATTTGATTTATCTATAGAGTCGTTTCCGCTTATTAAAGGAACAACTTCATTTCCTATAAGAGTTGGCCGTTCAGAAATAATGGAGCAACTCATGAGATAAGAATAAAGATCAGGATTAAGGTTTCGTGCACACTTTATGCACTTAAGTTGTTTTTATGGATAATGAATTTTCTTCAATGAATCATCATTTCTCCTTAATTGGTTTTATGAGAAAACTTCATTTCGAACGGTAACTTAATTTCTTCGTAAAAGATCGTGTGTGCATACATGAGTGTTGTTCTTAATGACTTGGAATAATGGCGTGTATAAGACTTTTTATTTTCGAATAGAAAGTTGTACCCAAAGTTTTAGCTTTCATTATTTTGGTAGTAGACAAAAAAACTCATAAATTTGCCTTCAGATAAAAGATGCCTTCTAAATATCTTTGTTTTTATTTTGTTCACTCATGCAAAAAGATTTTACTAAGTGGTTTTCTTCAACTAATCAGAACGTTAAGTGATTTTTCGTATTTGCGAGTTTACTAAGGAGAGATAATCACTAAAAAAATTCGTTTAGTTATGGTGGAAACGTATTCTTACCAAGCCTTTTTTTAATGAACATATGTTTACTAAAAAATTCAGTTGCATATCATTAACTTGTAAAGTAAGCTTGGTGGCTTTTAAACGCTCGAATTCGGAGTTTGATCTTGGCGATAGACACAATGCGAATGGCTATTGTGCGACCAAATACATTTAACCAATATCAAGTATATTTTGTGGCGTTTTGATACGGACCATTTTCATACAGTAATCTGTACGTGGTTTGAGTTAGAGTGTTGAAATTTAGTATAGAACATTGTGTTCTTTTAGATGATATCTTTATGGGACTAGCAGTTCAACATACAGTCATAAAAGAAATAAAATGAAACAGTTTGTAGCCTAGTTTTTATAACAAACTAGAGACACCATCTTTTGGACAGAATATGTGTAATTTAGATTTATTCGTAATTTATCAGGTCTCTTAAATCATCAGAAAAATTATAATATTTAGTAATAACTGAGGCTTTATCAACACAAACATTTATTCTATTGTATAATATTTTATGAAAGACATTGGAAGTATATACCTCCGAAAATGGTCAGTAATGCACAAAGCTTTGTTGAAATATTTACTAACACCATTAGAATAGCACAGTTATTAAAAAGGAAATGTATAAAAAAACAACTCTTTTCTTGCTAAAAGTCCTCAGTTTGCTCAAAGGTAGGCTTTGGGGGGTTAGGGTAGAAGGTTATAATATGGGGCACAACATAGATATCTCATTGTACAGATTTATCGAATGCCACACAGAGTTAACGTCTTAAATTATCAAAAGGATAGGACAAGTAGTTTAGAGCATTAATATATTACGATAATGTTGTATTTAATTCATTTCTGTTTTACCAATTTTTATCTTGAAAATCATAAAGTCATATTTTAGTCAATTTGTGTTTTAAACATTTGTATTCTGATACCATGGGGTTGAATTTTAGTGACTTTGTATTTTCAACATTTGTATCTTGATATCATAAGGTCGAATCCTAGTTTATTTGTGTTTTAAATTTGTATTCTGATATCATATGGTAGAATTGTAGATAATTTGTGTTTTGACTTATAAACCGAAATAAGAATTTTAATTCGATTGAAGTGTAATTTCTAACAGTAAGAAATGATGTGTATATTATGTACTGAGTTTGATAACTGTTTCTAACTTTTATATTTTATAAAAAGGTGAACAAACTATCTTTTTTCTAAATTTCCCTCTGTAAAACACATTTTTGTATTATTTTTTAAGTAGAGCTAAACAATTAACTGTACCCCTGTGGAATAGCGGTAAGTCTACGGATTTACAACTCTCAAATAAGGGGTTCGATTCCTTTCGGTTGACACAGCAGATAGCCTAATGTGAATTTGCTATAAAAAATAGGTAAAAACTATTAATTTCTTGGGTGATATTGTAGTGTGCACAACATTGCGGCTGAGTCTGACAAACACAACATTGTGGCTGAGTCTGACCATCATAAATTATAGTTGAATCTGACCAACACAACATTATGGCTAAATTTGACCAACACAACATTATGGCTGAATCTGACCAACACGACATTATGGTTGAATCTGACCAACACAACATTATGGCTGAGTCTGACCAACACGACATTATGGTTGAATCTGACCAACACAACATTATGGCTGAGTCTGACCAACATAACATTGTGGCTGAATCTGACTAACCCAACATTTATCCTTCTATCTCTTCTTATAAACATGTATCTATCTAACTGTATACGTGTTTTAATCAGTTGTCTACGTGAATATTTAAAATAAAATTAATATGTAAATTTTATGTGTAAAAAAAATAGCATGACGAAACTTGTTAATGACTTATGCATAAAATCGTTAATGGAAGGATTGTTATCCACCTATTAAGTAAGAGACAAAATATCAAACTTATTTAGTCAACAAATTATTATTGTGCTTGTTTCGACTCTAGTTAAAAAAGCACAAGTGAAAGTGACAGGTTGAAGTTGACATGTATTACAATACACTCAAAGATATGAGCTACAGGCCAGCTGTATTCCCTGGCTCTCGCTATATGTGGCATCGCCAAACAGCCGTTTTTCCGAAGCGTCACTACTGCTCTTAGTTCTCTAACATTAAATTTACTGAAAAAGAAACAACATTATTTTGATGCCAATTTCCGACACTGACATCGTAATTGATAAATAATGTCATGGTTTTTCCGACCCTACGTTCTCATAAGACAATTACTTACTGCAAACAGACAATTTAATAAAAACGAAGTGTGTAAGTATCTCACAAAAACAGACTAGTTTCCGAAAAATGTCTTATGATTTTACTTTACCTACGGGAACAAGCAGTCAGGAAGAATTTGATTTCCAATTTTAAAGTCGACAGGGAAAAATTTATAATGTTAAGAATTACTAGTTTAAGTTTTGGACAATGAATGTCATGTATAATTTGAAATTCAGAGTAAACTTTTTTATGAAATCTTTTAAAACCATTTCACCTAATCTGTCAAATAAATAAAAAATAATAAAAAGCACCCCAAAACAAGAAAAGATCGAAGAAACACGTTATTTTACTAGGGCTCATGATTTATTTAAAATGAAAGAGTCACTGTCATCGAAATTCCCTTAAGTTATCATTTGGAAGAAAATTTTTGTTGAACGTTTCCCTTTAACCTTTACATTAAGAAATATCATTACGCTTAGGTCATTCAACGTAAGACACAAAGCATTTGCTCCCCAGTGGTACAGCTGTATGTCTGCGGACTTACAACGCTAGAATCCGGGTTTCGATACCCGTGGTGGGCAGAGCTTAATTACAAACAAACACAAAGCATTTCGTTTATAAAAAGTATACGAAAGAGAATTATTTTTCCTCGAATACATTTGTCGTCCAACTACTTTTGTTCAAATATAAGTTTTAGTCAATCTGTATTTCTGAATCGTACCCATTCAGATTTTTTTTTAAAAATGCATCGTAATTAAAAGTTTGGAGTCTCTGTTAAGCCAACAAAGAGAAATAAGACCATTAGAGGCTACATTGACAAATATAGCCGATAATTAGGAATTCAGTTAGAAGTGAATAATGCCAAAATTATCGAATTACCTTATAAGGTCAAGCACATCTAAGACTCTTGGGTTCGCGTCCCGACCACTTACCACCACCACCCAAAAAAAGATCGCTCTTCGCACTTTGGGTTGTGGTTGCGTTATAAGGGTTATGTTCAAATCTCACTTTTCGATTAAAGTAGACTAAAGATTGGCGGTAGAAGGCGTTGTCTAACTGATTTTCTTCTAGTCCATCACATCAAAGTTAGAGATGGCTAACGCAAATTTCCCTGGAGTAGATTTGCGTGAACTTCAAACAAGGCAAAAAATAACCGTGTAATTCCATAGAAATATTTTAATGAAGATTCCTATGAAGTAACAAAGTCTATAATGTCTGCAATAAAGAAGTTTTATATCTACTAAATCTATCTATTAATTAATTGGAAATGTTTGTTTATTCGTTTTTATTTATTTCCTACGTATATGTTAAAGCTTGGATGAAATGAGAATCATTAGGTCTTCACTGCGACTGTTAAAAAAGTATCTTCCCAAATTACTGCATATATGTAGCTTGTTATTATTATATCAAAGTTTTCGAACATTTTATATGAATAAAACACATTTATATTTATATAATAAAGACAACGTGTCAGTCTTTATACTAAAATACAGTCACCTTGTCATATGGACACTTTGAAAGAAACAGATGAAAGTAACTGAGTACTCGATATCGAGTATTGTCAGTTGGATACATCATTGATAATTTAGTATACATTTCTTTATTTTAATGTACCGACACAATGAATAAACAGGAGATTACTGTGACGCAGCTTGCTCGTGCCATTGCATTCTTTTAAAGATTAGTGGGTAGTGTATTTGTCGAAATATATAACAGACAGTTAAAGAATTAAAAAAATGAAAGAGAAAACATGTTATTTAAAACATCGTTTAAACTATTTCTTTTATTCGACTTCTGGTTGTGCTACCACATTTTATCCTTTATTTTATCAAGAATGTTCCAATAAAAAAAATGGAAAACAAATGAAAACCCACCGAAAAATATGTTCCAAATGTTTTAATCACACTGTCATTTTCATAAGACTTGAAACACCATATAGTTACAGAAACTGACCATTCTTTAAATACACTAATGTATTGTTAGTGTAACAGATCTAATAAAATAATTATTCTGTAGTGAAAAAGATATTTTAATGTTTGTTTTCGAGCAAAATTACTCAAGGATTATCTGCACTAGTCGTCTCTAATTTCTGAACTGATAGACCAGAGAGATAGCAGCTAGTCAACAGCTTCCCCGCCAACTCTTAGGCCACTCTCGTTTTACCGAATAACAAGATTTGACCGTCACTCTTATAACGTACTAGAGTACAGCGCGCAATTTTCTTTTTGGTGGTTACAGAACACGAAAAATGTGCCTGCATATTCATAATCCAGCACGCTCGACCCCCATTTAAAATAATATGAACAACAGGCTTTAATAATTAACTTTAGACATCTAAGTGAGTTTTGGATTTAAACGCACTGTGCCTACAAAAAGGATCGAATCCCGAATGTTTACGTTATAAAAATTTTAAGCTAACCGCTGAACCAATGACGGAGCATACAAGTGTTTTAGAATGTATCAATAATCCAAAAACTTTTAAGTACTCAATGCACCCTCTAATTCCTTTAATTTACATTAACTGTCATTCAAATAAAAAAAAAATAGCTTACCGGCTTACGTAAACCTCACGTGTAACAATTATGTATAAAGTCATTGTTTGAAAATGGTTACTCAGCGACATTGCCGTCTTGAAAGAAGGCCAATATTAGACACAGCTGATTTCAATAATTCTTTGATTAAATTGTGTTAATATGATAACTTTGTGCAAAGATGTTAAAAGATTTATATGATATCCAAAACACTCTTTATGCAGGACCTCTCTGCTGGGAGCTGACCTAAACCGATGCTGGCAAGACCCATCTCCTCTTGCTCATCCAACATTACATGCCACAAAAAAGTTATTGGAAACTCTAGCTAGCAATAAGGTAAAATATAGATAGATAGATGTCATTAATACTTTTATACTCGATTGTTGAAAGAAACTATCTAATAATTACAACAACTATAAGATAATGCTTAATCATCACAATGTCTCTTTAGTTTCAACTTCCTAACGAAAGTTTACTGATTTAATTTGTAGTTGTTGTTGTTTATTACTTTTTCAGGAAGATGACCTATCCCTCTATTTGGATCTCCATGCACATACAGGTTTGTTGGGGACATTTGTTTATGGCAACTCTTACGATGACGTCTATCGTTTTGAACACCATGCTTTATTCCCTAAACACCTTAGCAATTGTGCAGAAGACTTTTCATCGGAAAGTACTGTCTACAATAGAGATCCAGGCAAATCTGGCACATCCAGAAGGTAATGGAGTATAATATAAATGAATGAATGAGTTTTTTTGTTTCCTTTACATACGTTTTTATTACTTAAAATAAGGACAACGTTGAGAGAGCCACTCCTAAAGCGATAACCCTTAAAAAATTCTTACAAGAGATACATAAAAGTACATTATTGTGATGTAATATAAGAAAGACATGACGAACCTTTTCAAGGCGAATACTATTTTGAAAGTGAGTGATTGAGGTGACAGAAACATGCTCTGAATTCACAATGCAAACTTCAAGTAGTTTTGAGCAATGTTTATCGTGTTTATTTCATCATTAGATAGAAAGCTAAAATCCTCAAAGGTAAGTTATATATCGGTAGATAGATAGATACTTTTCATTAAAACAACCAAACCAGTTTTTACAAGTTTGACACCAAACAACCAGTTTTTACAAG